CACACACACACACACACACACGATTTAAATACAATATGGACAAGGTTAAATTGTGATATGATGTAAGGCACAAGTGAAACATAGCTTATCTTATACCCCTACACTCTTTAATTGTGGCTATGCTGGGGTTGAGTGGGGCCAAGGTTACTGAAGACCAAAGCGATGGGAAATTACTGACAATGGCCTTATAAACACAGAACAAAACATGACTGCAGTCGTTATAAAGTGATCCCTGGTGCTGGTTTTGGAAAAGAGAAATATAAATGGAAAGGAAAGCCCATATGTTGGATAGACCTATCCAGTAGTGCCTTTCCCCCCCAATAATAGCTAGAAAAGACTCCAGCCCCACATGCAACTCTAAATTGAGTAAGAGGTTAAGAAAATGAATGAGAAAACTAAGGTTTGCTAGTTGGAAGCTTGCATTCATTTGAGTTTACTTCGTCATATCTAACATTCCAATAGTTTAGTGAATTCACTCATGTGCAAACCATTACAGCTCCCAGTAGATGAAGCCTAATGACTGTGGTGAATTTCATATTTTGACCTAGTGCAACACTGAGTTATCATTTGGTATTTTTAGTGAAATTTCTTAAAAACTATTACCATGAAAATTGTTTCAGGGATTCAAAGGACAAAGCCTAATCTTACAGCTATCATGTATGACTTATCCTTATCCTTATATTTTATAGCCTCCAAATATGTGAGATTCCCAGACAATTAATCCAAATGTGTTTTGACACATTTGTTCAGTGAAACGTTTGATCAAATATGAATGAAATTTGCAACAGCACTTACATCATCAGGTCATTTTAGCAATATTTTAACCATATTTGATACACTTCAAGCACTTTTCTGCCTCAAATCTACTGCCAATTTAGAATCACCAATTAAGCTAGCTCACATTTCTCTGGACTGTGAGAGGAAACCTTAAGGACAAATATGCAATCTCAGCACAGAACCAGGGAATGTCTTGCTGTGAGACAATAGAGCTAACAACTGCACAAACATGCAGTCCAAATGCCTGCAGAGCTTGTGTTTTGCTCTGTTTAGCATGCTAAAACTAGCCATGATGAAAATAAAATTGAAATTGTCAGTATGAGCTTGCTAGATTCTTTTTATTATCACCTAGCTTAAAGTAGGCATGAAACACTATACATACTACGCTTTAGTACATGAATTCTAACTCTAAAATTTGTCATAGGTTTTCAAGTTGCAGTGAAACTGGGTCAAAAGTGTCTAAATGTAGCATAGCAACATATTTGTCCCAAAGCACAGAAGGTCACGAGGTGGTTGATGGGCTAACTATTACACCACATACAATAACTAACTCAAAATAAGTCAAATTAAACAAAAAAAATGCTTCAGGTACTGTTTTTGGTGACAGGGATGAATGAAAAAAATTATCCACTATCTATACAGATGCTGCTATAGCTCACCTGGTTAAACAGTGTGATTCTGAAGTGCTGTACTGTATGCTTGTAAGTTTTCTCCCCAACAAAAACAAAAAGGTCGACGAAACGTCTGAGGACTATGTGGAGGACAGGGTTTTTTGAGCTAGGTGTATTAGTAGGCCACTCTATGTTTGATTTTTCTTCCTTCAATGTCATCAGGATCAGGATCAGCTCTGACCTATAAGCAAAGCATTATGATTTCACAGTTTTACAGGCTTATTAGTTACTCAGCATTTTGACTGCATAGGTCTTAACATTTATTGGAATGAAGCCTCAATACTATTTACTGAAGTGTTAAATTAACCAAACCTCTAATTTTTAAAAAACCTTTTTGTTCTAAATATCTAGGGAAGATTATCAGAGCTTTGTCGCTTGTAAACATATAATGTTCAACTAGCTTTTAAAAGCCATTACAGTTGCACCGAGTATAATTTATATATAGATATTAACTTGTCAGCACATTCCTGGTGTTCAACAATACAGTAGCAGCAGCGCTGCAGCTAAGATAACATGTCTCAGAAACCATAAAAAAAACCAAGTGACATATAATCTGTCTGTGCCATCAGAACGCTGACATGTGCTGTGATTTACTGTAGACTTCCTGTGGCAGCGCTGGCTGTTATGTAGTCCATGGCTTGATAGGAATTGTTTATCTTTTATATATTTGCTGTTTTTGTTTCTGATTAGTTTTGCTCATATTTAACTTTTATGTTGCTTTTTATTAAACTCGCTGTCTCTGGGTAGTTTTGTTTAGCGAGCAAAAACTGTTCAGGCAGCACAGAATCGGCTCCTTTGAAGCAACAAACAAGTCTATGTTCATGTGGGTATCATAAATCTCACCTGAAGTTTCTAACTGATAGAAGTGACAGGAGATAAATTGTGACCGTTCTCATTGACGAAAAACACATAAAAAGAAATCAAGAGCTGGCTTGCTGTTTGCTTGGTAGCTCACCCCCGCCAGCAGATACAATCTGTAAAGATTAACTGCTTTGAGGATTAGGACTCACACTGAGGACCCAAACAAATTTAGTTCATTTAGTTCAGTGTCAGCCCCGAAAAGCACCGAAACCAACTGATTGAAGGTGTGACAGTCAGCCGTTTCTAATCAAAGTTTTCTGCCTTTAATCATGTGATGAAAGCACTTCTCAGCTGCTTAGAATTCACCTTGGAGTCCATCCCAGCTGTCATTTAATCTCAAAATATAAATTTGTGTATACCACAAAAAGTGACTAAATTATGCCAGGTCTGCATATTATGTGCATACGCAGAAACTTTCATAGTATTGCAGTGACCTAAAGTACACAGATAGAAAATGTGGCATTCCACATAATGAGCACTAAATCTGAGGTCTTCCAAAGCCAACAGTCCTTCTGCAGGCAACTTGTGTTGAAGCTAACCTCAAGTCAGAGAACCGGCATTTTTGCAAGTCATTACACTCGTTTAAGTCAGGCTCCAGAATTGTTTCACACAGATGTGATGTCAAAAATGACAGCGAGGATAACATCTAGAGCAGCGGTCCCCAACCCCCGGGCCTCGGACCGGTACCGGTCCGTGAGAGTTGAGGCTCAGGTGTGAAATGTATGGTTTTCAGGGTTTTTATCAGTTTTCAGCGTTATTTTGTTATCGTTTTTATCGTTAACT